CCCCCTCCAGAAAAGACACTTGCATGAAGGGTGGAGACGCCAGGATGGTCTGGCGGTTGTATGAATCGTAAGGAAGCACCACCACCGCATGAGAGGATTGAGCAGGATTTCCCTCCTTTCCGCTCCAGGCTGGCCTGCGTCTTGCAGGGTGCACAGCAAAATCTGATGCTCAGCCATCAACGTCTCTTATTTCGGTAGCGGATGCTCTGAGGCCCAGCAAGACGACTCTCTACTGCAAGGCCGGGCTGGTCACCTGATCGCACGTGGCCAAGAATTTGACCTTGCAGTGAATGGTTGAAGCAGGAAGAGCAAGGCGTCGGGCGATGAATCATAGATTTGACCAGGAAATCCACATGCCTGGCTTCTGGCGGCTATTGGAAAAAACAACCCATTACAGAACGATTGGTCGAGTGGGTCACACGGGGAACTGGGAACTCTGCTTCGCCAGGGCAGGGCCCCTAAGATTCTAGGGGTTGATTCCCCACATTTTCAAAAACCAGCGGTTTCCCCTGGGGTTCTGATGGTTTTCTGAAAAGAAGGATCCCTGGAAAAAAATGAAATGGAAGGTCCCCCCAGAAAGATACAAAGCAGGGCCGGTCAAACACTCGCTCTTGCCAGCTGATTTCCGGCACCCAGCAGGCTGGCCCAGATGCCGCCTCTCTGGGGGATTGCCCCTTCACCCACAGCGTGCAGATGGCGCTGTGCCCGCAGCCCCGACGGCAGGGCCCGACGGCTCTTCGGAACCCAGATGGGTGGTGTCCTTTTGGCTGACCCTTCACAAGAAGACATGCCCGAGTATCCAGTAGCCTATAGTCCAATTCGGAGGGACGAGAAGGGACGTCTGACATTTCAGGCCACATGGTTGCCGGACGAAGTCGATTTGCTCACGTTCTTCCGCAGATTTCACACGGGACTTGGGGACGAGTAAACATTTCAGCACCACCGTGCCTTCGGGAGCCGATCCACATTGCGCATCCTCAAAATGAGCATGCAATCGGGTGAAGCATGTCTTTCTACCGTGCAAGTTGCCCAACTTTCATTGCACCCGCCCACCAACTGCAATCCAATCAGTTTGGTTTGGGAGCAGACTCTGCAAATCCCGCATGCGATCCATTCAGGCGAGAGCGGAGCTTCATATTTCGTCAGCTGTCATCATGAACATGTGATGAAACTATCCATCCTGCGTAGAAAATCCTGAACCCAGGCTGACCCCAGTCCTGGCTTTCATCCATTGAGTTTGCAGCTGGCTGGTCCCGTGCCTTCCTTCACAGCCACTCCAAGCAAGCCAAGAACTCGCCACGTCCTGAGGCCTGAAGGGTGTGGACTACGAGGTGGTGCCTTGCGTACAGGCGGCGTAGGGGATGCTGCCGCAATGCCGCCCCTTTGGCGGGGTCCCCGCGACCTCGAAGGTTTGCACACATCTTAGCAGTTTTACTTGAGCTTATTCGAGCAACTAGCCGTTGCCCGCAGCGTATTTTATGAAGCTGCTGAAATTTTCAGACTCCCGCATCAGAAAAGCCTGCGAATGGTGGTTTCATCTTCACTTCTTGCCATCCGAATGATTTACACACTATGGAAAACCAGGTTTTCCCAAAAAATACCCTGAACAAAAACTTGTATTTGGAGCAGGGGGGAGAGGGGATGGCTGGAGTTTTCGTTTCCTGGCCAACCAGGAGACGAAGCCCAGCTGGCTTCTGGAGGAGTGCGGGGAGCGGGGCGGGGGCCAAGCGATCCCCACAGCCCAACGGAGAGCTTCTTCGATTTGCGGAGGGTTGCAGGAGGCGTCCATGTTTCCTGAACTTTGTGAGGGGCTTAGTTTCGGTCGTTGTCTCAAGGAGTGCGAAATCAAAGGTTCAGGATTTGGACTTGTGAGGCTCAGTGAACTTTGGGCTAGCTCGGAATCAAGCGGTTCAAGGTGTGGGTGTTACTTGGAGATAGAGTCAGAGTCTGAAGAGCTGATTCTGCGATGCATTATTTTAACGCCTCCGGCTCAGGCCACCGACATTACAGGCCTGCTTTCTTATTTGCGTCCCTTTGGAATTGTCCCCTTGCCCCCCTTCCCCTCTAAGATTTTTGCCCCCCTTTCCCTGTTGAGATCCATTCCCCCTTTCCCCCCTAAGGCCCTTTCTCCCTCTGAGTTGTTTTCCCTTTTCCTCCCTAAGATGTTTTACCCCCTCTCCCTGTTGAGATCCTTTCCCCCCTTTCCCCCCCTTTTCCCCCCTGAGATCTTCTCCCTTTTCCTCCCTTTCCCCCACTTTCCCCCCTAAGGCCTTTTCCCCCCCTGAGATCTTTTCCCTTTCCTCCCTGAGATCTTTCCCCCCCCCTTTCCCTGTTGAGATCCTTTCCCCCCTTTCCCCCCTAAGGCCTTTCCCCCCGCTGAGATCTTCTCCCTATTCCTCCCTAAGATCCGTTGCCCCCTTTCCCTGTTGAGATCCTTTCCCCCCTTCCCCCTAAGGCCTTTCCAGATCTTCTTTCTTTTCCTTCCTAAGATTGTTTCCCCCCTTTCCCTGTTGAGATCCTTCCCACCCTTTCCCCCCTAAGGCCTTTCCCCCCCTGAGAGCTTCTCCCTTTTCCTTCCTAAGATCTTTCCCCCCTTTCCCTGTTGGCCTTTTTCCCCCAGATCTTCTCCCTTTCCTCCCTAAGATCTTTTCCACCCCTTTCCCTGTTGAGATCATTTCTCCCCTTTCCCCACTAAGGCCTTTGCCCCCAGATCTTCTGCCTTTCCTCCCTAAGATCTTTCCCCCCCTTTCCCTGCTGAAATCCTTTCCCCCCTAAGATCTTTCGCCACCTTTCCCTGTTGAGATCCATTCCCCCTTTCCCCCCTAAGGCCCTTTCTCCCTCTGAGTTTTTCCCTTTTCCTCCCTAAGGTGTTTTCCCCACTCTCCCTGTTCAGATCCTTTCCCCCCTTTCCCCCCTAAGGCCTTTTCCCCCCTGAGATCTTCTCCCTTTTCCTCCCTTTCCCCCCCTTTCCCCCCTAAGGCCTTTTCCACCCCTGAGATCTTTTCCCTTTCCTCCCTGAGATCTTTCCTGTTGAGATCCTTTCCCCCCCTTTCCCCCCTAAGGCCTTTCCCCCCGCTGAGATCTTCTCCCTATTCCTCCCTAAGATCCTTTGCCCCCTTTCCCTTGTTTCCCCCCTTTCCCTGTTGAGATCCTTCCCACCCTTTCCCCCCTAAGGCCTTTCCCCCCCCAGATCTTCTCCCTTTCCTCCCTAAGATCTTTTCCACCCCTTTCCCCTTTCCCTGTAGAGATCATTTCTCCCCTGTGCCCCCTCAGATCTTCTGCCTTTCCTCCCTAAGATCTTTCCCCCCCTTTCCCTGCTGAGATCCTTTCCCCCCTTTCCCCCCTAAGGCCTTTCCCCCCCTGAGATCTTCTCCCTTTTCCTCCCTAAGATCTTTTGCCACCTTTCCCTGTTGAGACCCTTTCCCCCCTTTCCCCCTACGGCCTTTTTTTCCCCCGCGATCTTCCGCCTTTTCCTTCCTAAGATCTCTTCCCCCCTTTTCTTGTTGAGATCCTTTCCCCCCCTTTCCCCCCTAAGGCCTTTTCCCCCCCAAGATCTTCTCCCTTTTCCTCCCTAAGATGTTTTCCCCCCCTTTCCCTGTTGAGATCCTTTCCCCCCTTTCCCCCCTAACGCCTTTCCCCCCCTGAGATCTTCTCCCTTTTCCTCCCCAAGATCTTTTCCCTCAGTTGAGATCCTTTCCCCCTTTCCCCCCGAGATCTTCTCCCGTTTCCTCCCTAGGATCTTTTCTCCCTGTCCCTGTTGAGATCCTTTCTCCCCCTTTCCCCCCTAAGGCCTTTTCAGTTCTCCCTTTTCCTCCCCAAGATCCTTTGCCCCCTTTCCCTGTTGAGATCCTTTCCCCCTTTCCCCCCTAAGGCCTTTCCCCCCCTGAGATCTTAAGGCCTTTTCCCCCCCTGAGATCTTCTCGCTTTTCGATCCTTTCCCCCATTCCCCCCCTAAGGCCTTCTCCCCCCCGAGATCATCTCCCTTTTCCTCCCGAAGATGTTTTCCCCCCTCTCCCTGTTGAGATCCTTTCCCCCCTTTCCCCCCTAAGGCCTTGTCCCCCCTGAGATCTTCTCCCTTTTCCTCCCTTTCCCCCCCTTTCCACCCTAAGGCCTTTTCCACCCCTGAGATCTTTTCCCTTTCGTCCCTGAGATCTTTCCCCCCCTTCTTTGTTGAGATCCTGTCCCCCTTTCCCCCTTTCCCCCCGCTGAGATCTTCTCCCTATTCCTCCCTAAGATCCTTTGCCCCCTTTCCCTGTTGAGATCCTGTCCCCCTAAGGGCTTTCCAGATCTTCTCCCTTTTCCTTCCTAAGGTTGTTTCCCCCCTTTCCCTGTTGAGATCCTTCCCACCCTTTCCCCTAAGGCCTTTCCCCGCCTGAGAGCTTTTCCCTTTTCCTTCCTAAGATCTTCCCCCCCGTCCCTGTTGGCCTTTTTTTCACCAGATCTTCTCCCTGTCCTCCCTAAGATCTTTTCCACCCCTTTCCTTGTAGAGATCATTTCTCCTCTTTCCCGCCTAAGGCCTTTGCCCCCAGATCTTCTCCCTTTCCTCCCTAAGATCTTTCCCTCCTTTCCCTGCTGAGATCCTTTCCCTTTCCCTGCTGCCTTTCCCCCTGAGATCTTCTCCTTTCCTCCCTCAGATCTTTTGCCACCTTTCCCTGTTGAGATCCTTTCCCCTTCCCCCTAACGCCTGTTTTT